ACTTGGCCACTTTAAGATGAGTGGACTTCAACTCCCAGAATTTCCCAGCCAGCCATGCTGGAGTTGAAGTCCACTCAAGTTTGGACAACACTGCCTTAGGGTGTCGTATTTACACAGACCCCTGTATCTCACTGCTAACTCCTGGGGAAGGGAGAATCAAACACAACTTCCTCTGCAATATGGACACACTCAACATGGGGAAAGTGTTTGCTGCACTCTGGAGTGCTCACATCCTCATGAGTTCCCATCGTAGGAGTTAGCCTGAACATGGACATTGGTCTCCCTGCCCTAGAAAGCCTACTTATAATGAGGCCCTTTTACTTTGGAGATAATGGCCACTGAGATGGCTGCCATCAAAGTGCTAATCTTTCCAAGAATATTTGGGGTGCATGAAGGTGGTAGCTTTGCTTGGAAATGTGCCCATCGATGGAAGAGAAGAAAGTTTAAGACAACATCCAGAAGGGTAGGAAAAGTACTGGGCATTGTCAGTTTACTTCTCATTCCCAGTTTTTTTTTTTTTTTTTAAGTATTAGTTCCTGTCCACTTTAGCAACCATTTTGTGAAAATGCCCACAGCATGTTCTTAACATTTAAAATGGAGCCTCTGGCTCTGAAAGGTTGCCTTTTCTATTCCCCACCTATGTTGATAGGCCTGGAGTTCAGGTTCTAGAATAGGACCCCGTTCAACAGTAGCTGAGTCTGGGAGGAGTTGATTCCATCTCGGTACATCTATCTAGAATGGGTTCTGCTTCTTTCCGTCATGAATCCTTTAGCCAAGAGAGAAAATAAGGTGGATTTCTCACACCGTTAAATGAAGCAGGGGCAAAGATATAGCTGGTTGACCTGCCTGGGGCTAAGAACAGAAATCAGTGAGAAATACAGCATGTTTCCAAGAAGCATTTTTGGTGCTTGTGTTTGAGCGTAAGAGGAGGATTGTAGGAGGAGGCGAGGAGACATTCACCACGGGCATTCTGCTGAGAGGATTCTCAGCCATACAATTTTGCGGAGGAGATGAGATGAGCGGAGGGCACTTATACAGACAAATTAGTTGAAGGCCTACCAAGGGTGGCTCAGAGAAGGCTCTGCTGAAATGGTGAGCCGTAAGGTAGGTTCTGGAGAAGGTTGCAGAGGTGGAACATGACAGAAGGCAAAGACTGGATGAAGAGACCCCAATGCTGGTCAGTAGGCATTATGGAAATGCCATCAGGGTTGGTGCTTGGTGGAGTTGCATGATAAACCCATATGGGGGGCTGTCAAAGACACAGTGGATCATAGATTAGAATATGAAATAAGGACGTTTCAAAGGGAAGAAGATAGAAACACCAGGGGAGAAAATGACAATGAGAGGGGAACTGATTGCAAGGGCAGAGTCTGTGGTTGAGATACAGGCTTATTTTGGACCTAGGATATTTATAACAAGTTGGGTGAGAAACAATCTATCAGCTGCCCGAGGGTTGGAAACCCAGTTGACCTCGATGCTGAGAAAAGTGCCACCTGAGGTTACTCCTCTGTACTGCGGCGGTCTTGAAACAGGCATGACTAGAGTTGGGTTTTCTGGTACGTCTGAATCTAACACACTTCCCTGTCTGTCCACAGGTCAGGTTCTCCTGTACGAAGCCATGCTTGGATTTTAATAGCCATGTTTCAACTTGCCATGGATTTCTCATCTTGTGAATCTTTGGGCCGAGACCATCGGCACCAGTCTTTGCAGAGACCTGCCCGCTGGCATGGGTTCCCTCACCATCTTTTGTGGAGCTTTAGGTCTGGACCACAAGCCAGAAAGCCTGGGCTTCCAGGGAGCCTTGATTTCCCCTACTTGGAACAATCCGATGGACATCTGGCCAACCTATACCATTTCAAAAGGCTACGTAATGTCGCGGACCTCTTTTGGGAAAGCAGGCGAACGCCGTCTTTCACCCACATGAAACCAAACCCTCCCCTGGCAGACAGGAGTACCGTGTCCCAGACTTACTTGAAAAGAAGGAAAAGGTTCCTCCAAGCAAATAGCAAGCCAACGCTGGAGACTGAGGTGATAGTATGGGGATCCACAAGCCCATTGGAAGCCCTGGAGACCAGCACCCTTCCCAGGATTTATAATGGCCCTGCCACCTCAGTTTTGGAAAGTGTGACCAGCAGTATGACCACCACCACCACCATCACCATCACCACCACAACAGCTGCTTCTTCAACCGTACAGTCCAAAGGACCTGGTCCAGGGGTTGGTGCACCTAGGAACCACCCCAGTGGGATCAGCACACTGCTGCCACCGTCGACTTCTGGTGGTAGCAAGAAAAAAGCTGAAGGTCCACCACCGCCACCTAAAATACCAGGAGACACTTCAGGTAGGTGCTTCTGTCTTCTTGGTGTTTCAGTGGATGCTCTTTTTTCTATGGAGGAGCTGGGGCAATCTGGTGGGGGTCACTCGGTAGGCAGGAATGACATGGGTGGTGGTCCCCATTCCATCTGTGATGTGACCCGTGGTGCCTCAGCAAGCTGAGATCTCACTGTCTTTGAGGATGTTTTGAAGAGGGTAAATGGGAGCCAAGAGCTTCTGAGAGACCTTCTGCTC